ATGTGAACAACAGCACCAAAATTTCTCCTATCGGCGACTTTTAATACTAATTTGTATATTTATTTATTATTTTTTTCGGAATTTATATCCTAATGCCTTTCACACTATATATTTGGAATTTGGTTCCATTACGTTCATTAGTTTAGCTGCTGTTGCATTCAAACAGTAAAAGTGTTTTTGATAACCATCCTATACTAATTTCGTAGTCAGTAATACTCACTGTATGTAATGAATAGTACCTACGCATATAACCTTGTAACTGTATACATAAAGTAAGTCTAATTATACGTATATAATTAAAAGATTGCTCAACAATACAATGCTGAGGTATCAAAAACCTTGTGTTTGCAATACTACAGAATTGTAACTGTAGTACCCATTAAGAAAATTCATGAAAGCCTTCTAAATTTCTATTATTTATCTTCGATAGGTTATTGATTGATTTTTATGTTGAACATTTTCCTTTTAATTGTAACGCAAGAAAAGTGTCAAAATAAACTATATTTAGTTTTAATATAAACTATATTTAGTTTTAATATATTTACGTCTGAATTTAGTGAATAGTTCAGAATGGTAAATTGCCAAAGTAAGGGCTAACTCAGGAGTATCATGAGGAAAACTCCCCAAGATACTGCATAAAGGATCGTTTAGTAGATTAACTTGGATAAATAATTAAAAACATAAAGGTATATGCAAACGTATGTACTACACGTTAGTTATTTTTATTTTATAGTGTCAAATACTGAACAAAACTGAGCGAAGAACTTCTGTATTTATTGGTTTCAAATGACACCATGAGTGAAACCATAAGAAAGTTTCACTCATGATGTTATTTGAAACCAATAAATACTTTGTTAGACTTGCTTTGCTGCGAATCTACAACGCACGCATTTATGTGATAAACTAACAAAGATATTCTCAACAGCAATGATCTCTAGACCAACAATTAATTAAAGCTTATCACATAAACAGAAACATTGGCAAACATTTTAAAACTCCGCCGTTGTTTAAAGATTATCCAACATTTACAGAATTTGAGTATTTAATCACTCAAACTTCTAACATAATCTGTTATTCAAAACTTGAATGTTTAGTTGGACAATTGCAGGTTATGTTTGCAGAGGGAATTTGATTCCCAAGCTGTCTAACTTTGACAGCGTAATTCTCTGTACTTCCGCAGATATAAATGTGACATTTAAATCCTTGGGAATGAGTAGGAGGAAACTTATTGGCTGGAAAATTTAATTAGACAGTTTAAGCAATAGATGTAACAGCTATTCTGATAAGAATAACCAAGACTATGTTCCAAATGCGGGTAGCATTTAAATAATAGCATTGGAGGCAGAACTCAAAACTTTCCTAAGTCTACGCATATGGCTAGAAAAGATAAGTAATACAAATAAGAATAATTCATACATTTTCATGCATGTGTTATTAAACTTTCATTTTAGGTATACACAACAAAAGTAATTTTAGGTTCCTTTGTGTTTACTAATCTCATTTTAAACATTATTTTAAGTAAATATTATTCGATGTTATGCAAACTTCATAATTAGGCACAAGCGTACTTTAATATATAACGTATTTACTCGCGTATTCCTCCCCTAAGCTTCTTAGCGCTACATTCTGAAAATTAAAAAAATTATTTGCGTAAAGTTCCTATTCCTCTATTGGACATAGTGTTTTTCCTTCGAAGGCTAGTTTATTGTAAATTGTATTCTCTAGTTTAATTTTGTTTTTATCCAGTGTATTCAATTTGTATTTACATTTTTTTCATCCATTTTATTTTTCCTTTCATTTATTATTTGGAATGTATTTTGTGCAGATTGTTAATTAAGCTTCCTGGACGTGGTAGGTGTTCTCACACTTTTAGAAATTTTCCAAAAATATCATTTCATCTTACTTCTTTTCTATATGTCCAAGCTCATTGTAACCATATCCACTGCTGATGTGTTCGAGCTTTTCAAATCCGGGTCTTTTTTACCGTCTGCTTTTGCGTTTCCTAGGAGAGGCGGTGTTATCAGAGAAATGTCGGTCGGTTTCGTAATAATCAATTAGTTTCGCTGGGGGTCGGACTTGAGGTCCAACCTCCAGCGAAACTAATTGTTTGCTACGAAATATTATATGGTTTTTGATAATAAAGAGCTATTCGAGAATTAAGCGAAATATAAGGACATCGTGTCATGCGTAAAAATTGAACAGATCTTGTTAAGCTGATGATATATATATATATGAGGTTACTGCTAGAAATTCTTTAAGTCTATATCAAAGCACATAGTAGGAGTTACACAAACAAGTGGAACAATTTTAGGCAACAATTCACATACATTAATGCAAAAGAAATAAGAAATGGCACAAATAGTGCAAAGCTTATATGGTACAGAGAGCAAAATACAGAAACATAATGAATTACTTACAAGTTATTACTTAGATGGCCTCTAATTGAGAGAATTCTAATCACAATTACAGATAGGAATGATGCTATTGTTTGAATTCCTAAGATTTAAATGGAAATTCTGTGTCAGGTGATGGATGTAAGCATTGAATTGTGTCATGCCCAATTCTTCATGGATTGCATTTTCTGACAAACCATGGGCAGCAGGCGATTCGTCTTATGTTGCCATTCTGACAGTTTGGAGTTAGTCCCGTTTGTTTTGCAGAAGTATGCCCAAACAGAATAGGCATAACTGAGCATGGGACACAGTGGGGATTTGTAAATCAGTAACTTGTTGCCTAGAGATAAAAAGGCATTCCGAGATATTAAGGGAAAAAGTTTAGCTTTACAGATCCAGAAATTCTGGATAATAGATTGTAGTATGTATGGGGACTATGAGATATTTTTGTCGATGATTACTCTGAGATAGGTGACGCCTTTAGCCTAGGGCAAGGAGAAATCATACATTTTCATATGTCCATCAATCTTCTTTTTCCTTTTGAAGAGAACAGCTGTAGACGAGCTATAGCTCTACATTGATTTCCACTATCCATCTAATTAGCCAGGTGTGAAATGGCTGGATGTGTTTTTGCAATGTTTTGTAACGAACGAAGAAAAACATTTTGTGAGAGGATCTCAGTGTGTCATCAGCATAAAGTACTAGTGCGGTGTTGGTTTTTGCGAAATGTTTTCCAGTACAAATTGAAAAGCGTGGGTTCCAGGAGCGATCCCTGGGGTACACTGGATAGGATAACACAGTGGTAGGAGCTATGAGATGCGAACGACGAAGCTTCTATCTGTTAGGAGTTAAAGGTGTTCATCGTGTTTCCTAGTAAACGCAGGGTAAGTAATTTGTGAATGAGGCCGTCCGGCCGGATCCTATTTAAAGCTTTGTCTGTATCCAAGAAGAGTCCCGCTATCAACTTTCCTGTTGAAGGCATTCAGCAATATGTTCAGCCACTTGGTAGAGCTGATGTGTGGTGGAAAGGCAGCGGAGAAAACCAAACTAATGCTGAATTATCAGATTGTTTCTTCGATAAGAGAGTTTATTCTAGGTAGAACTGCAACCTCGACGATTTTACTTGCTTCAGATAGCAGGCTCATCGGACGATAAGTTGCAGTAGGCTTATTCGGTTTCAGGATCTGTATAATTACCATTGTGACGGGAAAAAAGCTCCTATTGCAAACAAAGCTAATGAGTTTAGGAAGGAAGAAAACTGTCTTCAAGGGGAACCTCTTAATCGCATTGCTTGTTCGCATCCATACGCGAACAACATTAATCCAGTATTCCTTCGAAAATCTGCGACTATATCAAAAAATCAAAAAGAAAAAGAAAAAAAGGAAAAAAAAAAAAAATTGGGATTGTATATATACTTCGGAAAATGTGCACTGTAGTACTTCTTTTAAATTTTCTTCTGTTTTATATCTTTTATATTATACCGTTTATATAGTATCTTTTCTTTTGTATTTAATTATATTGTATCTTTCATATTGTGTCTTTTATGTTGTATCTTTTACATTATATGTTTTCTACTGTATCCTTCATATTGTATCATTTATCTTTTACTATTGTATACATATATACGAGAATTTTCTCATTTTTGTGTATAGCTTTAAGCTGTCACCTTATGAAGTCATCTATAGGATTGCAGAACCGCAGCAATCTAATCGGTATTAAGCTCAGTGCTATCATTATGCTTCTTGTTTCGATGTATAAGCGCCACACAAATTTGTTCTCCTCTACGTTGTATACTATACTGGCTCAGTATATCACTGCAAAAGTGCTGTATACTATACTGGCTCAGTATCTCACTGCAAAAGACTAGGTCGCGATGACGCAGCAAACTTTGGCAGTCCCTGGGGACATGTTCTTGATAAGCAGAGTAAATTAGAATCTTCCGCGTGGCGTAACTAGCTGATAAGTATATTCTCATGTGGATCAGCCGATTCGTTAGCAGAGAAAATAATAGAAAAGCATAACACAATGTTAGAATATTATTTTTTACTTTATAGTACATTTAATTAAAATTGGGTAATTAAAAAAAACGCGTATTTTTTGTTGTGTGATAAATTGATTTTATTTACTACTGTTTTCCTTTTAATTTGGTTTTAATTTTTTATTTTGCTTTACGAATAAAGCCTTTATTTTCTTAAATAAAAAAACAGTTTCCTTTTTTCCTTGCAAAAACTGATTTTCTTAAAACCTCTTTGCCCTTTAACCTCTTGAACTATATTAAACTTTAGCTTTTTTTTTCTAAAACAACCTTTTTATTCCTTCATTCTTAATTTGAGATTTTTCTGAGCTTATCAAAGGTGTCATGAATACCATAAACAAGAAAACCTTTCTTTAAAATAAATAAAGTTTTTCTCCTGTTTAAGTTATAAGTTACTTCTTTTCATTTTCCTTCATCGGTTCTTAAATAAGAATAAAAAAAATAGATAGAATTAAAATATGTGCTATTTATATAAGCTCTTAACTACGCAGAGTTTGGTCACTAATCATTAATGTTATTAGAAATGTGAAAAGTCGATAATACAATACAGAATTATAATGTTTTATTTGAAATTAGCTTAGAAAAGGCATCTGTCCGTAACGCATAGCTTGAACAGATACTTTTCCTGGTGGTAAGGTTTCCTGCGTATCCAACTTTGGTGGTGAAGGTATAAGTCGCAACCAGTTTTCATTTGTTTTATTGTAGGGTCTTATGCTGCGGAACTGATAGAACCCAGGATCAACATTCCGTACTCCCATAATCTCTCGCTCTTTCAAAATATTTGAATAGTCCACGTCGAAGGAAGAGAGATCTGTATGGAGCCATCGAGGGATGTGATTCACTCCTGTGAATCTCAGTGGATCATGGATGTCTCTCCAGTATCTATGGACTCCGAAGTAGTGAGTTAAAATGTCCTTGTCTCTGTCTTGGTTTGTATCTTCATACTTCCTTCCACTACAAACAAAATGAACATTAGTATCACATGAATAAACCTAATTCAAGATGATAAAGATTAAATAGTAATGCATAACTTTGAAAAGTTTTATTATTAAATGCTAGTAAATTAGCTTCTTATATTTAAGAGTGTTATGAAAGCATAAATTCATGTTTCAGAGCAAGCCTTGAAATTTTGCTGTGATACTGAGATAAAAAATATGAGATAGGCAGTTTGTAACAATGATTTCCAGGCATCATTTGCTTGAAGAACTGAGATGAAGAGCTATTGGGAGTCTAGAGGGAAGACAAAGTCAAACAGAAGTGTCCAGATGGCTAAATGTGAGTGCTTCTGGGGTTCATAGGCTTTAGTAACAACTTCTAACCACATATTCGGTATCCAGGAGGTTCAACCAAGGACGGCCAACCGCTGCGACGAGCGCTAATGACCGATATTTGTTGTTATGCGCACAAAGGAATAGAACCTCAACTCCGAATCAACTCACATCTTCCTTTGCTGGAGCCATTGAGAAGTTGGTGTCAATGTCAAACGCGCGTAGAAGGCTTCACGAAGGAGGTTTGTACGCGAGGCGACCAGCCATTTGTATGCCGCTCACATTACGTCATAGAAGAAGCGAACGTCTGAAATGGGCACGTCATTTCCAGACCTCCATGTCTTTCCACATGGAACGGTGAATATTCAGGCCTATAGGGATGACATCCTTGATGCTTATGTTCGCATTTATGCCGGGAAATAGGCGATAATTTCCTGCTACAGGACGACAACGCTAGACCGTACAGGGCTCGCATCGTGGATGATTATTTTCAGCAGCAAACAATTCAATGGAGTGACCAGCTCGATCACCGGACTTAAATCTTATCGAACATGTTTCGAATGCTTTAGGAAGATGAATAGCTGCTTTCAATCTTCCTCTTGATCACCAATCTGACACATCCGATTTATTCGTTTTATACATATGCTAATTTCTATAACATTCACCGTTCCAAGTGGGAAAACATGGAGGTCTGTGCATCCACTCCATGTCTTTCCATGTGATTTTATTGATAAAAAATATCGGGAACGAGGAGTGAATCAAGAGCGATTAGCAAGGATGGAGCAAAGAACAAAAAGAATGAGCATTGGGATCGGAAATTGTTAGCGAGAATGGAGAGAAGAGGTAAAATAATCAAACAGGAAGTAGATGGAAGAATCATTTAAATACTAATTCCCTGAACTTAACTTTTCTTTTAACTGTAGTTTTGAGATTCGCTGAAAGCTCCGTTCCACACAGAAATAAGAATAAAATCATTTTCAAAAACGCTGGTAAATGATAAAAAATAAGTTCAAATTTAACATGAGAGGAAAAGATTCTTTTCTCCTTGAAAATGATTATCGAACTCTCTGGCACGATTCCAACAAGATCTTTCCATGAACTGTAAAAATGCAACCATTCCATACACTGGAGAGGCCACTTGATCATTAGCCGAGTAATGTGAATTGGTTCTTTGAATCATTTCCGGAGCGAATCATTCAACTCCAGTTGACAGTACGATTTTTGCGCAGCTTTGCAGTTCCATTGCACAAATTTCTAGAGTGCAGTTTTTTACTGAAAGGCTTTAAAATGCTTCTATTCTTTTTAGATACCACACTTGTAAGTCCTCATTTTCTACACGGGATTCAAATTCTTGCCCAGCTAAGTAGGTCCTCCGGTGATCAACAAACAAAATGGGCAGCAAAAATGTTTCTGGTATTAAGCAATCAAATCTTGCGTGAAATTACTGTTGCTATTTAAATAAGAACTAATGGTATATTTCCAGAGGTTTTAGTACATGTGAGATGAAGTATATTTGAAGTAAAGTTGTTTTAATAAAATTAAAATCCGTTAGCATCATACAGACATTCTTTCAGAGTCAGTCACATTTAATATACATTGATGAAACCCGAAGTCTAATCAATGTATATTAAATGCAACTTAAAATTTCAGATTAAGGAACATGGCATATGTTAGGAAAACAGAAACATATATATCCTCTGATACCCAGTATTGCTGGTCAAAAAATCGCATTTTACATTTTTTGCAGCCAAAATTATTTAAAAATTTCTTCTGTTGGCGATTTAGATTTTTTAGAGGCGTTTCACATTCATAGAAAATTTTTAGTTTTAGTTAACAATCCCAATCCAAATCAGTATTTACCCTCAGCTTTTAAGGAAATTATTTATTATTTATTTTCTTTTTTTATCAATAGATCGTTCTAGTAGCTTTACGTCCTTCCTCTTAGTGTTAACGCCTGAATACAGGCTTCTCTTTCATCATCTGCACTCCTGCAGTTGAAGAAGTTTCTACATTTACATCTTCGAAACTAAATTTATGAACATTACACTGATTTTGGTTGCTTTAGTACCTCCAATAATTTTAAATATTTTATCTGCCCAGCAGACGAGCGTTAAGTCATTGAATACTCGTAGTTTAACCTGGGTTTGAATTCCGGCGAATGGCCGATCTTAATTATAAATTAGATATACTAATTACAGATGCCCCACGATACCTCCAAGATCTAAAAACAATTTTTGCCGAGCACGGTAAGCAATCGCCGCCACAGTGCTTTGGATTCGAGTATCGAGGTCATTACATAACGTTTTTCGAAAGAATTTCCTTCTTCCATTATGAGAAAGTTGCCTGAGAAATATGTTAAAAATAATCACAATGTGTTTCTTCTTACCTTTCGGGATAGAAGTATTCCCACTGACAGCATACTCTCTGCTCTGTGGGATTTGGTGTGAAACTAGGAGCATAATCGCAGGGACAGACATATTGGTAACACACCTGAGCACAGTGATGGTCACATAGTCTCGGACTGCATCCGTTCATAATATTTTATTGACCTTTTTCAGGTTTGTCAACGGCCTTATGGAGAAGAAAACAAACTCTTAGTTTCTCAAGAAAATCTCATCAAAACCAAAATTTTAATAATCATAATTGATTTAGAACAACAAGAAAAAAAAAAAAAAAAAAAAAAAAACAGATAGGTAAACCGAAAATAAGTTAGCACTTTGAAACTGATTATGTTTTATCCTTTAATTTTACTGATATTCTAGCAAAAAGAAAGAATTCTGGTAATATTTTTAGGTACTCACTTTATTATCCCGTAGACGTGAAACTGTGGTCAAGCAGCGCGATTTAGCGCCAGTTATGGATAATCATGACGAAACAACACGCTCGTAGCATCTTGTTTTCATCCATTGTAACCACGACTGATTTTTGATAATCTACACTTTGTTTTCGTGAACAAGAATATAATTTATTTGTTATTACTGTATTTTTTCTTGTATTTTTGAAAAAAAAAAAAAAAAGATTAAAATTTTGAACTTGCCTTCTACAAAACAGTAAACAATGGTATATGTTCAAAGTTACAGGATTTTATATTAAAAAAATGTATATTAATGAACACGATATAGTCAACAAAGCAGTAATATATTAGAACAATTAATTACCTGCTGTAGGTTTGTACCTAAGAAACTAAGTTTGAAAGAGAACTTTCGATAAAATCCGAAGGCCTAAGAAAGTAATGGAGATCATTGAAAGTTTACTAACGCAGAGAAAAACGCAGCAGATCGAATACTCATTGTCTGTTAACCCTCTGAGCGGCCAGGGTTTTCTCTAAGAAAGCACAAATTTCCAAAAACTAATATGAGAAAAAATAATTTTTTTGATTTAAATGTAAAAAAATTTTCCTGGTATTTCATACCTGGATTTGGTTTCTTTTGATATATTGCCTTAATTTCTTTGACGTATTTTAATATGCACGTATATATACGTTCTTACAGATAGCACACAAAATATTCTACTAGGCAGTATATATACGGCTTAGAGGGCAAGGCTTCACGCTTAGAGGGCAAGGCTTCACGCTTAGAGGGCAAGGCCGTGTCAGCTTCTTCAGATTCAGCAGGAACGATTGGCGCAATTTTGGCAGGATTTGCGTCAACTTTCATGGTTCGATGGTAGCCATCTTTCACAGTCGACGGGTAATATGTAAGTACCCGTTTCTACAAGTATTTTATCTTTAAAAGAGATGATTTGTAGCAAAGAAAGAGACTAGTTACTGATGAGCTTACACCATATATTAAATTAGATTATTTAACTTCCTCAAAATGCGTTAGGTAACATGGTTAAGAAAATGCGCCTTCATGTATGACTCTGAAGGAAACTAATTCGTGTTGATTTTAATATATAGCAATTTGAGAAAACATGAAACTCGAACGCTTGTCACATTAGGAGTCTATCTGTGAAGAAAAATTATCAGCAATCCACTGTTATTTGGTGGATTATTTTGCAAAATTAAGTAAATAGCAGTGTTATGAGGCAAATGCTATGATAGTGTAAACACAAATTTTAAGTATATCAGTAGCTCTTATCTAAAGGAAAGAATGCCTCCAAGGAGAGCTTACTAACTTGAAAGAAAGTAATATGTCCATTTTATAATGCAAAAGTACAGGAATGTATCCATTTAATTTACTCAGACGCAATAATTTAACCTAGTACATAGATATGCATTAACCATTAAACATAATAAACATATGGAGAGGGAAAGCAACAAGGAGAGGAGACACTGCAAAAAAAGGGCATCATGACTCAAAGAAAAAGGATCACCTCAAAAGCTGGATACTTACGTATTGTCCTGAAACCCGACCGTGAAATTGGTTAAAAGCCAACTATGAAAGTCGCAGAGATCCCGCCAAAAGTTGATCCAGATTTCCTTGGGAAATTCTGAAGGAACTGATTTTCTTTATTTAATAACAATCAGTAGGCTGGCTTCATTTTAGCGTTTCCTAAAATTGATTCTACTATTTCTGAAGATTTTACTGGATGCTTTAATTAGAATGGTATGAGTACAAACTTCCCGCAGGTAAACTGCTCCAATTTATTGCTGTTTTATCGGTCATAATCAGCTGCTCGATGCTAAATCCTTAACTTTGAACTAACCCACTGCTTGATATTGTGCAGAAGGTAGTTCCAAATTTTCATAACTGCTTTCGAAAATGCAAGAAAGGATGCAACGATAACAGGTAATTTATGTCCTTGTTCAACAAACAACGTGGCTTACCAACAACCAGTCGGAATTGAATCAAACAAAAGCACACTTGTTATGGGTGTGCTGTTATATAATGCTTATTTATAACTGGCGTTAAGTTGCTCTGTATGTTGACTGTTTCACAGCCCATGGGACAGTACGGAAGTATAAAATTTTGAATTGAAAGATTTAATATAGAATGTATGGTGCAATTACAGGGAGATCGAGCAGAAGGATTGGGGGGACACAGGCTAAATGCATGGGGGGGGGAGGTCCAAAAGCTTTTAAATGTTTAAGGTCTCTAAAAGTCTAATCTAACGCTAAGACGAATTACTAACCTTTCTTATACTGAGCCACTTAACGCTTAGTGAGAAAATAATGAATACAAAAAGGCCAATAAGATTAACTATGAGAAGTTTCGGTACCGTCTGACTATCGAATGACTGACTTTGACTTTCCCCTACCAAAAAGCCTGGAACTGATTGGCGACTTTTCGCTGGGAATGGACAGCATTTACGAATTCATTTGTGGATTTGTACAATAATATTTGTTTGAGTACCTGACGTCTGTTTCAATCATGCGTCTGCTTTTTACCTTTCTTTTCTCATAGAAGACACGCACGTTTCTCTAATGTAATAACATATATCGATAATTGCATTGGGGGATAATCCCTCTATCACTTTGCTGGCAAATCACTTTGCAAATCACCCTCTAGCACTTTGCAAAATTTTCAGAATGAATTTCCCTAATTTTAAGGTCGTTTAAAAAGTATAAACTTCAGAGAATGCCAATTTTTGCACTCTCTGTTGTTTGCAAAACAGCATATTTCTATAGAAAGGCAATACTTCCAGCAAATTATACAGTCCCTTTACGATTCGTTACGGCAAAAACAAACACACTCAATGCAAATGAAATACTAATCGTAAAAAATGACTAAAATACTAATCATAAAAATGAAATACTAATCATAAAAAAGGACACACTAATCAAATGAAAAATGAAATCAAATGAAAATGAAATACTAATCAAATGAAATACTAATCATAAAAAATGACCATTGAATTTCAAACTGCAACGTGTATTCAAACTCTTACCTGGATTGCCATATAAATATTTTTTGGCGAAATTTCATGGGGATGCGGATAACTAGAAAATACCGAAGAGGTAGTTAATTAAACTTTCAGCTTATTTACAAAAAATATAGAAATTTCATCTCTATAGTCAAATATTTACTATTTAGGGTAGTTACGTATTAATATTACCATGTTAGTAGAAGTGCCCACCAGCGGCGGAGCGGTAAAGTCGCTGAACACTAGTTCGGTCCGAGGTTCGAATCCCGCGAACGGGCTGGCTGCATGGGCGTTTTCGTAGTTTTCCCCATGTGTAACGTGTATACGAGCCAGTTTCCCTTAGAAAGTTCTGCACTAAGGCATCCCTCCTCTTAGGCAGATAGCTCTCGAGGCTTTGCCATAATCACACACACACACACACACACATGTTAGTAGAAGTCGCCAGATTTTCAGACTGTGCCAAACTCTGGCAACCACGCGCATAACAATACGTCAAGCAACCCTGCTCACGAAATTCTTTCAGTCAAGCAACGTCGCCGTTTTTGTAAGTGTCCTTTTCAATGTATTTTAAGTTGCAAATATTTTTATAGACAACTGGGTTTTTTTTTTTTGGCCTAAAGTCAATTTTAAAATGTGTGCTTAAGGAATTTGTTAGCTGTGGAAAAAACCGGAGTAACATTTCTGCAGGAATATCAATATTTTGCTGCAAAATTGCTAAATAGAACCATGATGACATGCGTTTGGTAGATAGCTCGCAATGCTGAGGTTTTAGAATTCTCTGTTGTACACTCTGATGTGTACAGGGGAAGAACAACAGTGTAAAATATGTTTTCATTGTATCGTGTAATCATCATGTAAAAATTAAACAAATTGCTAAAGCATGTTTTATGAGAAACGTCGATAGTTCAGCAATCTTTCCAAAAAACGTCGTTGAACTAAAAATTTGCTAGGTAACTTTTGCCTTTTAAAATCGCTCCTTTGCATCATGGTGTTTGATTAAATACATTAGTTTCCTATTTCGTTAACACATATATGAAAAAAGAGCTTGTTTCTAATAGAAGTTTTAAAATTAATGTTGCATTCTATCTTTAAAAATAAATCTCTAAATTTAACTGCGAGTTCAAATATTCTAGAGAGCTTTAAAATCAAAATCTTTGCAGAAACTTTATGCGGTTATTTATGTCAAATTTTGAAGACAAAAAGGGAACTCTCATATTCCCTTTCCTCCTCATTTAATTATTCAATTATATAGTTTAAATTTTAAGTTCTAGTAAGTTCATTCCTTCTCTTCGATTCACCTGCAATCTAGAAACATAAAAATGTAGTTGGTTATTTAGAACGTTGCAGCAGACGTCAGATCCTATTAATTCAGCAATTAATAGTCAGTAGCTCCCCTGTGTGTATTTTCCACGACCTACAGCGTTTTAATTAATTCATAGTCTAGATGAGAGATGACACAGAATCTAGAGTTCGTTTAAATTATTAATTTTAACATTAAGTTTCAGTGGGAGCTTTTTCTGAGATAACCATTTTTTTTTCATTCAAGTTCTGAAAATCTGTCATCAGAATTAAAAAATGGTATCATAATCTATGCAAGTCCCCGAGGAAGCTTAATTTGGCTAATCTTTGGTATATGGTAACAGGTAGATTGGCGACATTTTGGTAAGGCGATAAAGGTTACTAGCTAGGACTTTAGCAGTGTACATGGATAAAGTCAAGAGTGTGCGCAATATCCATTTTTGTGCAATTCTGAAGATTGTTTTTTTATTTTTTTAAGTGAAAATAGGTCGACGTGTACATGGATGCCGTGTATGTGCAATTCTTAAAAAGGCGGCAAGCAGTTTGCGATTCTGCACTTTCTCCCAATTTTGCACCTAATCTTCCTCATGATTAAGTACTTTTGCTCCATAAAAGTTCTAACATAAGCGTAATTCGGCTAGCAGATTGTTAAAAAAAAAAAAAAAATGCCTTTATTTCGTGAAAACAAAATGGCGTCCAAACAAAAACTAGTAGGTTGCTGTAGCAGGGTCGGTCGCCAAATTTTCGCCAAAAAATCGCCAAGTTACCATAATCTAAAGATTAACCCTTAATTTTGGAAACAGTTTTAATTAATGTCCATAATTTTTTTGTTAAATATTTTAGCTGGCTTGTTATTGCTTTATTTCGATTAATGTCCCCGGTTATCTCACTTCCGTCCTTGACTTCTGTCCCCGGCTATTTTAATAACATTAACCGAATGCTAAACCTTACATGATGAGAAAAAATATTTTTCAAAATAGCAAGGGAATTTAAAATTTAATATAAATACAGCAAGAAATAGATAAATAAGTACTTTCACATAATTTCAATTATGCAAATGCAAAATTTTTTTATGAAATGTTCATAATATCATTGACGCAATAATTTATTTATGAACTGTTTAGAGCATTTTTGAAATTACTTGACTGATACTATCTATAGCCCTAATCTTAACACTCAGAGAGCATTCCTCATACACCGGGAAAAAAAAACACACATATAAAATTTAAAGTTAGTCAAAAGAGTAACTGTAGTTTGGCGTAGAAGTTTTCAAGGAAACTTTTCATTTTTTTCAGGAGCAAGGGGGAGGGGGGAAGTCTGTGCAATTTTTTTTTTTTTTTTGGCTCCTGAAAAAGAGAAATCTATGTCTGATCATCCTTTAACTCCAGTGAGTTAACCAAAATCTAAGCCAAAGTAAAGCTGCTTTTTTGCTTAATTTTAAATAGTTGAATAAAATCGAAAACAAACTATTTAGACACATAATAACTTTAATAACTTACTTGGCGACATCTTTCTGACACTCAGCCATTTTTTTAAACCTCTTTTGACCATATTTAGCGACTTTATCTCTTATCTGGTGATTTTATATAAGTAAAAGAAGTTCGATAATACATTGATAATATTAATAGAATTGTTGAATCACGATAAGCGATGCATTTTCCACGTTTTCGTATACAAAAGGACAAGACTGCCGCAATTCGATAACAATATTCAAATGATAAACAGCGATCCCATTACGCGACATCTAATGTAGAAAAGTTAGACGTGTGCAAACACTCGTCGACAGTAGAAGATGCTATAGGTTTTAAGTGGATCGTTTGTCTTGTAAGCAGAGACAAGAAATGAAAACTAGTAGGTTATCGAGCTAAAATTAAAAGATACATTATTACGCATTAAATAACAGTAACACTTGTAAACTTCCTATGAAGGAAAATAGTACATTGTGTGCAACAAGATTGTATAAAATAAACGAAATTTAATCCAGCATGCAGGAATGAGTAATAATACTTACTAGCGGTGAATATGGAAATTTGAAAAAAGTATTGGCATATGAAAGTTAAGCTTGTCTAAAGATGTAGGCTGGAAAATTTTATTAAAGGAACTGCAATTAGGTAATAAATAATTTTGTGTTTAAAATGGAGGGAAAAAATAGTTATGCAAGGATTAAATAAATGTTTAACTTTCTGCATTTGCTCCTTTTTACACGTGACATTCTTTGCGCCAGAAAATTATGCAATGTATTTTCTTTTGCGTATATAAATTGCAAATTTAATATCTTCGTTGGTAATATTACATTTTAAAATCGTAAAATATGCTTACTTTTCGAGCTGGTAAATGTTAAAAGTCACTTGAGTGTTTATATATTGTGGCAGAGAAAACGTGCAAAAACCATATATGTGAAATGTCTCAGAAAATTGGACATTTCAGGAATTATATTTTCTTATACAACTTATGATGAAAGAAGTAATTATGAATGAATACTTTGGTTAATTGGCAACATTCGTTTTATGGGCTGGCAAAAATGTTTTCAAATTTTTAGAATATGCACGCGATCAACACTGTTTGATTCTGACATAGCGTGAAGTAAAATAAGCAAACGTCAGTTTTGATTTTTAGTGTATTAACTTTTAATTAAATTAGCAACTTTTAATAAATTAGCAACGTTTTAGTTTAATTCGATTCAACTGCGGTATTTTACCCTCATCATCATTTCTGCTGAAAGGACTTTTAATATTACTTAGTGTACTCATGATTTTTCATTTTGTATTTCCGCCTCTGTTCGATGATGCACTTTATGTATAGTGCATCTTAGTTTTGAAAGTAAATGTTAATCTGGTACCATTATTAATATACTGGTCAAAACGTTTGAAGTTGTATGTCAGCAATACTTGATACCTACCTAAAATAAGCAGAGTAACGAAATATCTTCATTTACTATTATACATCACTGATTTTAGAACTGGATCAATAAAACGGCGTATATTATATAAAAAATATATTTATTCCCAATATGTATGTTCAGGAAAACAGTCTTACCTGATTAAATATTTCGTAAACTTCGAAACATAACAACAATTACATTTTTCTGACGTTGCCAAATTCTAAACTATGGGAACTTAAAATTTTATCAAGACAGCCGCACTTTTATTTACGTCATAATTAAAACATGGATTCGCAACAACTGAAGCGCAATTACGCTCATTCCATTCAAGCCGTTCCAATCTTAAATGTTTGTGATTACCTAATGAATAGTGATATAGGGCATTTTAGAAAGATTGAGCAAATGATATCTCTCGAAGGACTGACCGGAGATCACTTGTTTTATTTTTAAAATAAATCAGAATAGGGGAACTACTCTGATATGCGCCCTCAAGCCGCCAAATTTCTCGCCAAATATTTTTGGCGAGAAACTCCACGCTGCCATATTGCTATCTAAATTTATTGTCTACATTTCGAACTTTAAGCCTAAAATGTCTCCAAAAACACGGTTTTCGCGAATGCAAAAACCACATTCTGAACACACAATTTAAGCTAAAAATCCGAAACAAAAACAAAAAATTTAGATAGCAAAACCGTGAAGTTTCTAACCAAAATTATTTGACAAGAGTCCATGTACACAGCGATATGTTTTAACTTAAAAAAACATCTACGAATGGCACCATCTAGGTAACGAACAAATTTACGAACTACGCACACCTCGCTTTAATAAATTAACATAACAACAATAAATTTCAAAGAATACCATGTACACAGCATTCTGTTTCAATTTTAAAAAACATCTACGAATTGCGCAATTTAGACGGTACGCACTAATCAACAGAATAACTAAAATAAATTTCAAAAATTCAAAAAAAAAAAAAAAAAAAAAAAAACAATAACGACAGATATTCATACTAAAAAAACAATGAACATAACATTCTACGAAATAAGGACAAGAATAAAATAAAATGCACTTAAACACTGCAAATGCTTTTTCGAACAGCAGAAATACCAATTTCATACCACCTTTAACATGCCGCCACGTAATCACTATCGTATTTATATGACAGCCAGACACACTATCCAGAAAATTCATACTATGGTTCACAAATAAATAAAATAACAAATAATCACAAATCCCTACTTCTATCATGCACAGCCACTAAAAATAATCTCCCATACCTTCTTTCCACAACTCCAAATACCCATTGCCCTTCAACAGGATGGCCACGACGATATTTCCTTATGCCGAACTTCAATTCAACAACTTTCACCATTAAATCTTTCCCCCCTACCTTCTCAGACACAAAGCATGGCGGGAACCAACGAACTCAGCGAAACATTTTTCGGTTGATCTTTACAATATGGTAACTGGTAGTTTGGCGACATTTTGGAGGCGATAAAGGTTACTACCTGGGACTTCGGTAATAATGTGAGCAGTACTCAGTTCCGATTACGCATTATTTTGTGTGAGGGAAATGAGAGATCATGGGATATGTCATGTGATATTAATGGACGAATTACGGTTCTTTAATCGGAAAAGGGGGGGGAAATCGGGAAAAAATCTGGAAATTTTGTATTTGGCTTTATTCTGTGTTGTGTGAAACAGTGTTGGTTAATTTTTGGATCCCATGGCCGTACTAAAGTGAATTCGAAATGGGTATTTAGTGGTATTGAAAAGGGTAGTAATAAATGTTTGTTTAAGGTTGTGCGAGATAGAAATAAAGATGTTTTATTAAGTTATTTATTTTACCTGGTACCTTTCTGTGAAATATAAGTATGATTTTAAAGATGCTGAAACAGAAAGAAGAAAAGTTTATCGGACACGTAATCAAGATTCTGAAGAAGATTAGGTAAGTTAGTATTTTTAATTATTTGAGGATATTATTTTTATGCATTGTTCTAAATGTAAGGTGGAAAGGAATTTGGTATTATTGGGAAAATTGTTATTAGCAATGATTTAGTTTAAAGTAATTAGGATTATACGGTAATTTTTATTAATTTAATGTATGTGCTCATTTATATTTTAAGTAGTGTTTTTGAATTTAATTATATTTTAATGAAATGATAGTTATTTTGTGAATTTTATGTTTGTAGGAATTTGGTATACGTTTTAGTTGAAGTAAACGTGCATGGAAATAATTTAAATATCTGACACTAAGTATTTGTAATGGTTGCGGTATGAATTCGTTGGTGACGTTTATATAATATAATAGATGATTTAGAGGTAAAAGTTTTTGGATATTTTATTTATTTTATATGTGGAAATGTTCATATTTGGAAAGGGTAAATACTTTTTCGCGATCAGGTAATTTCATATATGTTCTTTTTACCGGGTTTAAAGACTGAGAAAATTGTCATGTATTTTCGTGAAATTTTTCTAATTTATGAGAAAAAAGCAGTGTACATGGATATAGTGAAGAGTGTGCGCAATGCCATTTTTGTGCAATTCTGGGATGTTTTTTTAAGTAAAAATAAGTCGACGTGTACATGGTTTAGTGATATTTTAATTAAATGATAGTTATTTTGTGAATTTTATGTTTGTAGGAATTTGGTATACGTTTTAGTTGAAGTAAACGTGCATGGAAATAATTTAAATATCTGACACTAAGTATTTGTAATGGTTGCGGTATGAATTCGTTGGTGACGTTTATAATATAATAGATGATTTAGAGGTAAAAGTTTTGGATATTTTATTTATTTTATATGTGGAAATGTTCATATTTGGAAAGGGTAAATACTTTTTCGCGATCAGGTAATTTCATATATGTTCTTTTTACCGGGTTTAAAGATTGAGAAAATTGTCATGTATTTTCGTGAAATTTTTCTAATTCATGAGAAAAAAGCAGTGTACATGGATATAGTGAAGAGTGTGCGCAATGCCATTTTTGTGCAATTCTGGGATGTTTTTTTAAGTAAAAATAAGTCGGCGTGTACCAGGTTTATGTGTTATTTTGAAAAACCAGTTATTTTGAAAAACGCGTAAGGAGTATGGTATTGTGCACTTTTTCCCAATTTTGCATAGAATATTTGTCATGATTAAGCAGTTTTGTTTGATAAAATTTCTAGCATAAGTGTAATTCGGCTAGTAGATTGTTGGAAGAAGTGTTCAGTAGATAAAGAGAAAAGAAACATGTGTTTACTTCGTGAAGACAAAATGGCGGCGGGGAAAAAAAAATAGAGGGTTGCTGTAGGAGAGTTGGTTGCCAAATTTTCGCCAAAAAATCGCCAAGTTACCATAATGTAAAGATCAACCGATTTTTCAACGTCAACAGGGTTGCCATACAACACGCAATCGCGCCAAAAACCAGCGCAGAACACAAATCGCCACATTTGGTGAAATTAAGGCGTATATCAGAGTTGTACTAGAATAAGTCCGCAAAAACATCTGTCAAATAATGCATTTTAGTAAAAATGGGTACTTTAAGTATGTCGGTCGCCACGCTTGGTAAGCATAACAATCAGATTTATAACTTGCAAACAATTTCATTTTTTTAGACTGTTTTGATTGCTATGTTGTCTTCGTGATACCATAGATTCAATAATTCTTTTTTCCTCTAAAATGTTTAACATTTTAACTTATAATCAATTAGAAAATAAAGCAGAATATTTTTGTGATATTTATAATGTGTTACAACTTTATTTTCATGATCACTTTCGACCGCGTAACATCATTAAATATTTATCTTTAATTATTTTCTTCTAAGTGTTGGCAACTTTTGACTTTCTATTAGTTTGAAATTCATTATACGTTCATTCTTTTGTACTCTTCATTATTAATTTTTCCTCTAAAATGTTAGCCATATTCAACTTGGTTTAAAAAAAGCAGTGATTTTCGTACCAGAGCACAAAATTTTGTATACTGAGGAAAAGTATAAAAAATGGCCATCGAAAATAAAATTATTTATAGCGAGGCTGCACCCGAATGTCGAAACAAAAGACAAAGGGAAGCGGCTCGCCAACACTTGGATTCATATTTAGAAGAATTTATGTGGCGTCAGTATCTAAGATGAGACAATATATTTGATTCTTTTACAGCAGCAATTGCCGAATTATGACTTCGCAAATGTTAATCAATGTTATTTCTCCTAGGGTAAATGAATTTGTTAATAAATAAATTAAGTTCCTATTTCAGCAACGGTAGCCAGTCTTTATTGCGGAATTCTAAAGGTCACATCATCCATAGTCGGCGATAAATCGCGCTACTTGGTCGGTCGGCGGGATAGTAAAAAAAGGATTCTCGATACGAAAGAATTTATCACGCAGAAGGAAAATTTCACATAACCAAAATTACCCGGGTTATGGTTTGTTAATTTCCTTAGGCCCATACACAAATATTGCTAAAGAGAGATATGCGTGTTCATTTTTTTTCATGAAATATTTTGGAAATATTAATATGTGAATAAATGTTGTTAAGATTCTTACTTGTAGAAATGCTGTAGTTCAACATTTTTTTCACAAAATTTAGTTTATCTGCGAGCCTGAAATCGTTATTTCTTTTTCTCATTTCGTGGAGTAAAAATGGTTTTTTACGGGATAAAATTTCAGGAAAATTTTAAAATTATTTTTAAAGGTAATTTTGCATGTTATAATATGGCATATAGTATTATATATATTCTCCTTATAAGAGCCTGAATAGAACGTTTTTAGCATGCATACTCCGAGGTAAGATGCAATATGATTACATTGGAAAAAGAAATTCTTTTGATGAGAACCACAATATCGTTTATTTGTTTCATTAAAAGACTCCCAGTTATATTTGCAGAGAGCGTAAATTATGTGCTAATAATAAAATTAACGATGTTATCATATGTAGGGGGATGATGGCCAGTTCAGAACATTTCTATAACTATTACTGATAAATGAATTGACATTAAATTTTATGCTTGTACTCTTCAAAGGATTTGGAGGATAGGCCAAAAAGTGAGAAAACTTCAAGAATGTTAATGGATGGGAATTTTACGGTAAAAGAGTTAAAGAAACTTATTAATAAATGAAAAACGCAATACTACCTTGATATACGTCACTAATCGCTAATCCAATTATTGGACGTATTTTCCATAGTTGTGCGTTCCAACTAACTTTAAAGACAATTACCATAAACATAAGGTGTCACGACTGATCTGTGTCGTGGACTATCACCACCAAAGTAACTAACCATCAAACTAACAGACACGGATTTGAAACACTTGAAGTTTATTGTACCTCACCACTTGTGAGGGATTAAATTAAAATATACAAACATAAAATTACCATCTAATGTAAACCCGGTTTCAATACAAAGCTTCCTTTTAAGAAGTTACTTATGTATTAATACAACCACCCTATAGACGGCGCCAAATTTTGAGAACGTGTCAAATTCGGGCAACCGTGTACATAACCATTCTTCCGGTAACCATACTCATAACAGTCTTTCAGTCAAGCAACGCCACCACTTTCGCATGCGTTCTTTTTGTTGTATTCCAAATTCCGACGATTTTTACAGACAAATCGTGATATTTTTTTGTCATAGTTTTAAAATATGAGTCTATAGAATTTGCCAGGAACGGATAAAATTTCTGCAAGAATGCAGAATTTTGCTGAAAATTTTCTAAAGAGAACAAAGAGAAAATGCATTCCCTCGATAGCTGCTGTTTCCGGCCGAGTCTCCGAAATTCTTTGATGTTCTTTTAGCGAAAATAGATTGTTGCGTACTTTGGGAGAAGAATAGCGCAAAAAATTGCAGAAAGATTTGAAGAAGAATGTAAATGCTTTATTTTTAATACATTACGTAATCCGTATTTCATAACTGAGATTTTAATTTTAAATTTCTAAAGTATGCTTTCTTTTCATATGTTGATAAACATTTACCGATTTAACGATAAATGTTGATAATTTGGCAATCTTTCTAAAATATGTGCAAAATCCACGAACGTGAATCCGATAAGTAACCTTTACCTTTTCATGTGTAAAAAATCGCCAGATTGCGCCAAGGTGGTTGCATCAATACTTAAGTACCGGATATAAATTCAAAAATTTAAATCTAACCTAATAAAGACTGCAAGAATACGCAGACCCCCGACATAATTTCGACACATACTTATCAAGCAGGATCTAACTTCGGCCGAAAGTTATCCAGCTATAACAGTCTTTTCTGCTATCGGCAGGGCAGCTGAAGCAAGCCAAAACACCTCTTCTAGTTTTACAAAACTTCTATTCATAAAAGTCTACACTTTTTATTAAAACTGCTTCCTACTCAAAATCTACAAAATTTCTGGATATAGCGAACCTCATGGCGAAAAGAGAAATAAAGGAAAGTATTAAATTAACGCGTTAGTAAAATTTAA